CTCACTAAGAGTATGTTAGGCAATCCTTGACACAACATGTCTCGACGCCTAACATGCAATGAATTATCTGAAAATATCCCCAAGCCCGCACAAAAAGTACGTCTGGGTTTCATGGCTTTCAGGCCATTTCGATTAAACTATGGCTAACTTTCGACATCACGTTACAATGAAAATTTTTTGTGCAATTACTTTAGCGCAACACGAACTATTGTTAAAATCTTTGCTAAATAGCTTCTTGGACATCGTCGCATTCGTGAACATGGCAATTAGTAAGTAGCCCCATGCACCAGTCACATTCGGACATCACATGGGACTTCGATGTAAACTGTTTAAGAAGGATCCATATCACTGTCTAAACAGTCGAGAAACATGGTCTGGAAGAATCGCACCACCTACTTTTCTTAATCGGACTTTCGTCCCCGGACCAGCATTTTTTTAAACATACGCACATGAAAAAGCTGTTTCTTTAGCAAACTTATAGAGAATTGTGTACTCATTTTCCCCTAATCCTGTGACAAAACAATATTCATAGTTGCATTGCTGGCTAAGTGTAACCAGATTTTTTTGCTGGCATATGGAGGACCGGTTTTAGGTCAACGGTTCTGCAACTGTACGAGTCTGCTATGTGACGGCTTGTAAATGCCGCTTTTGGGGTTATCACACCGATGTTTCTTCTGTTATAGAATATGTATTACCTTTCAACTCGGCTGTTTGTCAGAAAAGACGTGATTATTCTCTTCTTTCAGTGATTGAAACCAAACAACTGTTGCTAGTCTTAAGTTTCAATTCCACTCCTACTACTCATTGAGATATATCATTATCTCCGAGCATCTTAAGTAAAACGCGTGACAGTATTCGACGATTGGTTTATGAAGCAGTTATAGTCTTTTCTTGTCTCCAATGTCTTGATCGTTAATGGGACATAATATTTTCTGAAATGTTAGCCGAACTTCGGAAATATATTTTTGATCGTGATGCATCATATTAGAACGCTTTAGTTATACCATGAGGTCGGAATTTAATAAACATGTATTCCACCGTCGATAAAATGTACGTTATTTAAGGAACGACTTCTTATGCTCAGGTTAGAAAAAGTAAGAGATCCGGGTCGGAAATCTGAGGAGAATGAATTGCTCACCGGATCGGGAGACTTTTCTGGCTGACGTTTCGAAGAGCTGGGGCTGCTCTCCAATGTCAAAGCGTCAAATGAAAAAAAATCGATCAGCATTTTTGAATAGACTGCCGCATTAGTTGGCCTTGGGCTGATCGATTTTTTTCTTCTTTCGCTGCCTTTGCCTACTGCCCGTCGCCTTTGAGCGTTGGTGGCCTTCTGTATCACGTGTCGTCACCTGAATTGGGGTTGGTTGCGTTTGCGTTCCCCTTTTGGGTGAAATGGTGGACAGGCCGTGTTCGCTCGGCATTCTTAGGCTCCGTACGATTGTCTTGTCTTCGTCACGGTGTATGCAGTGACGTAGGACTTTATAGGCCGAAGGAAGGTCTAGATGCCTGTTGACGGAGTTGGCATCTGAGTACCAAGCCTCAAGTGTGAGACGCTCAGCCCTTGAGGTGCCCCTGCCTAAGACGGCTGCTCCTTGAAAATCAAAACTGTGACCAGTTTCCCCTATGTGAGCCGCAAGCTGTGAGTTTGGGTCTAGTCTCCGTGTTGCCAGTTTGTGCTCATGTAGGCGGGTCTGCAATTTCCGTCCGGTTTCCCCAACGTAGTTGCAGTCTCCATCCTTACAACGTATTTGATAGACAACTGCTGAGGTTTCAGTGGGCGGCAGTATGTCTTTTGCTTGCATCAAACGGTTACGAATTGTTGCCTGGGGCCGATGGGAATACCTATCCTGTCGGGCTGTAGCAGTCTTGAAATCGCCTCGGAGACCCCTTTAATGTAAGGAATAGCCCTCCAGACTTCGGGTTGTTCTTCTTGTGGCCGTCGTCTGTTCACTCGACGCTAGCTGTGCTTGATGAAGTGGCTTGGGTATCCGTTGGTTCGAAAGAGATCATGCAGGTATTGTCGTTTTGTCGGCTGGTGTTCTGCAGTGTGTTTCAACTCTTTGGAACAGAGTACGGACACAGCTGCGTTTGTGAGTGAGGGGGTGATTGCTGTTGAAGTGCAGTATTTGTCTTATGTTGGTGGCTTTTCTGAAAACAACCAACCAAACAACCAACTTCCCTTCCCCGATGTCCTTGTGCGTCGAAGCGCAACTGGACAATCATAAACTACCGTTTTTTGATTCCAGAATAATTATTAGCCAGGTCAGCCGTTGCGTTGGTGCTTGGCGATTTAAGAGTCTGGATTGAGATCACTAGCATCTGGTCACAGTATTGCTGCCCTCGGTATCAAGGCCACAATAAATTGGTATGAATTTTTTTACATACTAATGTAGTCTTTTTGCCCAGTCATGTGTATACAGGGGTATACAAAATTCATATAAAAGCTAATATTATGATTTTGTAACACAATAATCAATACTACAACCTCACAATACAAATCGAACCTAATAGAACACGTATTTTAGAATAACGGATAACATTCAGTGGGTAGGTCACACACACTGTGTGCTGTCTTCATAACAGTGCACAGATATACATATATACATATGGTAAAGGTATTATACCGTACTCCCGACCTAGATACTTGCTAAAAGCCCAGACACGTGTTTCGCCGATATTCTGCCGCTGCGTGACACAGCTGCGAGGGGTTCGGCTCTTCAGTGGGACCCCCAGCGTTCTCTAGCGGTTTCCGGTATATGAACTCCAGAGAATAATCAGGTGAATAATTTCAGAAATTAATCA